TTATTATTATTATTATTATTATTATTATTATTATTATTATTATTATTATTATTATTATTATTATTATTATTATTTTTATTATTATTATTTTTATTATTATTGTTATTATTATTATTGTTATTATTATTTTTTTTATTATTATTGTTACCGTTATTATTATTATTATTGTTTAGGCGTGCGCTTAACAAGACGTCTCCCGAAAATTTTGGACACATTTATCTATAGAAATCTTTGAGAAGCGATATCAGCTGCACGACTTCAGTGGTGCTCTGTTCTCCGAATTGAGTTCTAATTTTTGGCTTGCCAAACAAACAAGGGAGATTTTTCTAATCAGCTGCTATCAAGCGTGCGCAGGGGTGATAAACAATAAAAAACATAATAATAATTATGTATATAATAATCGTATACATATACAAACAGCGGATATTGTATAAAAAATATATTTTGTCATCATATGAAAAATAAGATTTGTATTAAAAATTAAATAAACATTTGTATAATTATACTCGAAACGAGAGTGTTTTTTTTTTGAATGTCTTACGAAGGGACCCTTGCTTAAGTGATTATTGTTATTATTCTTATTATTGTTATTATTATTATTATTATTGTTATTATTATTGTAATTATTAGGAATATTTTTAGGAATATTATTTTTTTTATTATTTTTACTAGATATTGACGAATGTGAAGCCGGCGATCATCAGTGTGTCGAGAATCAGATTTGTATCAACCGAAATGGTGGATACATTTGCTCTTGCCCACCGGGACTTCAGTTATCTCGCATGCGTAATAATGTAAGTCGCTGCCGAGATATAAACGAATGCGACCAAGGCCAAACGTCAGTGTGCCCGTCGAATGCTCAGTGCCTAAATACGATTGGTTCATATTATTGCGAATGTAAATCTGGTTTCCAAAAGAGCAAAGGCAATCAACATATTTGTTTGGATGTGGACGAGTGTCAAGAAATACCCGGCCTATGTCAACAGAAGTGCGTCAATTACTGGGGTGGTTATCGTTGCACATGTAATCAAGGTTTCGAATTGAGCACTGACAACCGTACCTGTAAGGACGTCGACGAATGTGAAGTTCATAAGGCATATAAACTTTGCATGGGCTTTTGTTACAATGTGGCTGGTTCTTATGGGTGTTCTTGTCCACGTGGTTACACCTTGGACTTGGACAGGACTACTTGTCGCGATATAGATGAATGTGCTGTAAGTGGATTCTGCACGGGACAAAACGATGTCTGTACGAATATACACGGCAGTTATAAATGTACCACAATACACTGTCAATATGGTTATATAAATGATCTGGATCAAAAAAAGTAAGTGCTTTATACTCTTGTCGAAAATGCGAATGTTTATATGTATACGCCACCCATTTTAACTAATTTAATTTTTGTTCAATAGTCGTTGCCGCTTGATAAGTAATATATGTAAAGGAAATGAATGTTACAGTAAACCATCTGCCTACACATACAATTTCATAACACTGGTTTCCAATCTGATGATACCGCCAGAGGGTAGAATAATATTTAGCCTGCGTGGTCCGTTGTGGTATGATGATATTGACTTTGACTTTAAAATTATTAAAATCCAAGCTGCGGCGAATATAGAGAAAGCTTCAGATAATCATTTTGAGTAAGTTTGGTTATACCGTATATTTAAATATGAGTAAAGTATATGTAAAGTATACGGTAAAACTATGGAACTATCAGTATTACAATTTTCTATCAAATTTAGGCGAAAAAATCGATAGATTTTTTGTCAGCTTTATACATAAATTGTTTTAGTGCTTTTGAAAATGTTGCTTTTAGGTTCCTACGTTTGTTGGGGAAACAACAAGAGCTATAAGGCCACTTCATATATCATCATCAGACTAAAAAGGTCTGATAAAAAATATATAAGTAAATAAAGAAAAAGCCCGTCGTTTCATCGACTGCCAGTGCACAAAGAACTATAATATTGGTAGATAATATTCACGAACGTGTCCGGAGCCGTAGCCAATTACCGTAGGAATTATTAAATTGGGCAGCACTTATCAACTTAGCTCTAACGCCGAAATTAGCATGTTTCTTCTCATAGATACATAAATGTATATGTAAATATATTTTACAAGAAACAGCATCGGCAATGGAAGTGTATGTATTTGGTATCGTTTGCTTGTTTACATCCACACAGTCTTCCCATTCGTATGTTTACGAACGTTGTTTATACATACATCTGCACCTATTGGTAAGAGTGATGCTGCCATGAATTTCAAGGCTAACATTACTGTTGATGTTAGTGCTGGCTCTAAGATAATGGAAAATATCTACGACTACAAAGTTAAAGGTATTATTGCCAACAATGCCGTGGAAGCCTATTCACTAATGGGATGACTGTTTGATTGAAGACAAGAGATATTTCGCAAGGAAGCTGATGCATTTTCCTTGTCAATTCGTTACCGTCGTATTTGAATTGATCCGGTAATCCCTCCACCCCTGGCGCGGAGACTCTGTTCTACCATCACCGACTATGTAATCAAATTCGCCATGTGGAACATCAGCTACTTTAACTGCCATTTATCATGATGAAGCAGTGTTCCTTCTATGATTTTTGGTAATTGTGAGACCATCTCTCTGGGTACTACAACAGTATGCCCGGGGCAACGTTCAAAAATTTACATTGTTGCGAATTGTGGCGAAACGTTCATCCACCGGGGTGAATGTCAGTACTCGACGACGGAGTCACTCTCCCGTCACTAGTCGGACACAAAATGTGCCCTCCTAGATGTCATAAGGATCTACTTCCATCCACCTTGTCTCGTCCATCGAACTTCTTGGACAACATTGTTGTCAGTCTACGCGGACCTTAACCAGCTGGGCTGCGGCACCTTCCCAATTAAGGGACCAGACATTTCAGGTCATGCCCTCTAATCGTAATTCTTAGTTTGTTTGCAATGGTCGTCACAAAAAATAGGAGTATCTCATTTGAAGTTGTTTAAATTTTCATTGGAGCTAGTTTGAGTGAGGGGGTCGCAAACTCCGCTGGTAAGTTTAATTATTTTACACATTATTAAAGCGAGTCGCTTACTTCACGACCGACGTCCGCTCGCAAACGCTCATCTGGTGAACAGACGAAACTTTAAACCGATTAATCGGAGTTGCATTTTGCACAAGGGATTCTAATGTTTCCAGCGTGCGTGACGTGGTCGCAAGAGTAGGAATTGAGTATAGCCCCCTGACTGTAAGTGCATACCCATAAGCTTGACTACACCCCATTAGAGCCCGATTTCGTAAGTTAAGAGTTCGACAAAAGCATAATGATAAAATATAGTGTATAACACTACAAAAGTCTTTATTTTACTCCAATATTTTTTTGTAACTTACTGAATCTATTTCGATATCCGAAGCCTCACAATAATTTATCAAATAGTGAAAATTAAATTAAAAGCTACAAAGAGGCTGATTACTCAAAATTGCTCTTTACGAGGGTAGTAAGTCTCTCCTCTTCAGGCGTGGTTGGCAGCCAAGGTGATGGAGATTAGATGATTGTGCAGTATTGCTTTTTATTTTTGCGCAACGATTTCAATCTCTTCTTTGATTGAGCGTACGTTTAGATCTCTGTGGATATAAACATTATACATGTATCATGGTGCGCCTGTTATTACACTCAATGCCTTCAACTGAAATCTGTATATTATTGTATATATATGTATTCGCCATTTTGATAGCCAAGCCACTCATCAATTAGTATAAGTTGCCCGCAAAGAGACGAAGAGACTTTTTCACGCGTAGGAATGTCTCCGGCGATCAGGATGTACAATATTGGTCCCAGAACATACTGTATACACAAGCCGTGATTAGAAACTCCTATGTTTTGTATCGCCTAATCATATATATCCGGATTCAAAGATATTATGGAATTGTTATGTAACAATTGTTTAATTTTATGAATGAAACCATCATGCCGCACCTTGTCAAACGCTTAAACCATATCAAGAAAAACCACGGACCAGTACTCTGTGAATTCGGAAGCTTTTCTTTTTTCACTTGTTATACGGCTTAATTGAACATCGTTAAAAGTTTGTCACGAAAAGCAACTTGATATGTAGCAATTAGATAATTTTCGTGGAGAAAAGGAAAGGACTTATTCCATATTTGTGGCCAATATCCTAGCTTTACAATGCCACTGAAAAGCTTTGCAGGAAAAACGAAGAAATTCTTGGCAATGCTTTTAGCATTTTTGGTGTGATATGATCATATCCAATCTCGTATCGTATCCGATTTTTTAAGTGTAGGGGGGTAATAATATTTTTTAGTTCAGTTTGCACATGATACGCAGATGGCACGTAAAGCACAGATTTTGAGCGACCAAAATCCTGACCGTTTGTGCACTGTACCGGACCATTTTGCTTGAAAGGTTCTATAACCGGGACTCTTCGGTGTAAGAGATATAATATACCATAAATTGGATGCGTTTCATTCTTCTTGAGTTGAGCTGAGATTTCCAAAAATAACACTTTAAATAAAGTGCCGACTTTACTCCTACGAATTATGTTAGCCACCGCCATAATTTCAATCCCATGCACATCAAGATTTTTTCTATATCAGGTTGCATCCGCCGTTTTTTCCAAAATTAAAAGCTTTATTGCGAAACATTGCACACAGATACATTATTCAAAGTATTGTTTTTCGCTAGCGACAACTTTCTCCCATCTTTCCGGCAATTTTCGGATCTCGGCTCGAAAAAAGGAGTCCTCTTTTGAAGGATTGAAAATGTTGATCTGCCAGGCCGTGTGCCATTGAACGGAATAGGTGAAAGTCAGAAGAAGCGACATCTGGGGAATACAGCGGGTGGGGCAAGACTTCCCATTTCAGCGTTTCCAGGTACTTTTTGACCACTTTTGCGACGTGAGGCCGAGCATTGTCGTGTTTGAGGATAACTTTGTCATGTCGCTCTTGATATTGTGGCCGCTTTTCTTTAAGCGCGCGACTGAGGCGCAATAGTTGCGTTCGGTAGCAATCTCCTGTGATGGTTTCACCCGGTTTTAAGAGCTCGTAGTAAATCACACCGAGCAGATCCCACCAAATACAAATCATAACCACAGTGTTTGTCTTCGACATCGAAATCACCATTTTTAAAACGTTGGAACCACTCCCGACACATTCTTTTACTCAGAGCAGCATCACCGTAAGTTTCAGAGAGCATTCAATGCGCTTCAGCTGCATTTTTTTTCGAATTGTAACAGAAAAGTAAAACTTCCCGCAAATGGCGAGAATTAGCAACATTAACGGACATTTTCTAGCTTGAATAATACGAAAGCAAGAACAACTGTCACTGAAAAAGCGATGACAATTCATTAGGCACTGTTCACACTCACTTTAAAGGCATTACCATCTATATATTTTAAGCAGCATTATCCGGTACAGCCACCTATCGGAAAACGGCGGAAGCAAAGTTGTGCACCTGATATCAAAGGAGTCAACTTTGGCTTCAATTCCTTTAAATACAGCAAAGTTTAAATACTTACTTTGCTTTACTAGCGTGGACACCACATAAGCGATTGTAGCCGAGTTGACAAAATCGCACCGTTCGTTTCTTCCTTCTGCTGTTTGATGCCAATTGGAAATACCAAGTGCCAGATCCTTCTCTACCTGGTCTTTCAAACGGGGTCGAGGTCTTCCACTTCCTCTGCCACCACCGGCTATATCGAAAACTTTCAAAGCTGGAGTATTCGTATCCATCCGGACCATATGACTTAGCGAGCCGTATATAACCGTACAGCTCATCGTTTCATCGCCTACGATATTCGCCATTGCCAATGTGCTAGGGACCATAAATTTTACGCAAACTCTTAACACCAACTCATCAGATGTTGTCATCATCTACGCTTCCGCACCATATAGCAGCAATTGAACGATGAGGGACTTGTAGAGTTTGGTTTTCGTTCGTCGTTACTTTTCAATTGCCTACTCAGTCCGTAGTAGCACCTGTTGGCAAGAGTGATTCTGCTTTGGATTTCCAGGCTGGCATTGTTGTTGGTGTTAATACTGGTTTTAAAATAGACGAAGTTATCTACGACTTTAAAGTTATGACTCTCAACAATGACGGGAGAGCCGAGTCGCGAATGCGATGACTGTTTATTTGATGAGAGGAGATATGACGTCTTGCCCTCATTCTCAACCAGGCCCATTTACTTCGCTTCTTTATCGAGTCAGGAAAGAGAAGAACTAACGGCGCGGTTTTTGGGGCCAATAATGTTAATACCATCGGCATACGCCAGCAGCTGTACACTTTTATAAAAGATTGTACCTTCTCTATTAAGCTCTGCAGCTGTTATAATTTTCTCCAGCATGAACTTCAAGAAGTCACACTATAAGGAGTCGCCTCGTCCGAATTCTCGTTTGGTATCGAACGGAGAGGGCCTTCCCGGTCCTCACGGGGCTTTTGGTGTTGCTCAAGGTCAGTTTGCACAGCCGTATAAGTTTTGCGCCGATACCAAGTTCAGACATAGCGGCGTAAAGGCAGCTCCTTGTCAAGCTGTGGAAGGCGGCTTTAAAATCGATGAAGAGGTGGTAAATGTTCTTCTCTTCTTTTCACGGTTCTTTTCCTAGATTTGGCGCATGGTGAATATCTGATCAATGGTTGACTTACCA